TGCAAAAAAAATAAAAGGATGTTAGGAAAGGACTTTGGCCTGAAAATTTGTTGTTAATAGTTACCAGTTCGAGATCATATACTCGACCTGAAAGTTAAAAAGTTTCCGTTCATGAAGATAGGGATCTGTAATTCGGGGTTAAAATTATAGGAAAATACGTAAATGAGGTTAACTTTACACAGTGAATGTATCCAATTTTCTTAGTTTTAAAATACCACAACTTTCTAAAATTTTAAGAATTCTAACTGTTAGGGAAACACTGCCACACTGCAGTTAACAAACATCATAACAGGTGATGTTTGAAATATTACAAATTTCCCTGTCAAAACACTCGCTGTTAAACAGGTTACAAATTGAAAATATACATGAATATTAAAATAAGCTTGTTAAATATGCACGTAAAAAGTATATAAAATTCCCGTTAAAAGTTGTAGTTTTGAACTACAATACAAAACTATAAATAATTCTTGTAATAAAACAAATCTGTTAAAGTAATTATTAATAAAATGACACAAATTGGTAAATTACATTACACGTGTTGGTAATTAAAATGACATGAATGGTGCTTTGACACTCCTGAGTATAAGCTCAGGTCTTTGGTTCTTTGACACTCCTGAGTATAAGCTCAGGTCTTTGGTTAAAACTGAGAGTTCTGGAACAGGTCCGGTCTCTATAACTCTACAAAGATCCTCAGAGTTGGCACCTTTTTTAGTAAGGCAATCTGCTAGCATTTTCTGTGTGGGTACCCAGGTAATAGATTCATATCCCCACGCTCGACACATTCCTGAATTTCCGACACATCCAATCGGAGCCTTTTCTCTTCACACTGCTTGGTAAGACTGTATGCTTTGTAATAGTTGGTTGAGTCTATAAAACCATGGATAGGAATGACCCTTAGCTTGGGGTCTCCATACAAAATCTCAGAGAGAATTTGTCTCACATAGATGGCTGCTCCCATACCCGTCGTTACAGGCTAGTGTCTCTGCAGCAAAGCTGAATGTACCACTCTTTTAATCTTCCTGCTTGACCAGTCCACAAGATTTGCTGTCTTGCCATTAGAGACAAACACCAAGTATCCACGTCCACTATCTGCCTGATTACCTGACTCTGTAAACAGGTTACCAACACTTGCATCTGAGTAGAAAATTATATGTATTTTTTCTTTGTCTAGATCCATAGCTCTGTACGATAAGCACTGCGGTCCTCCAGGTATCTTCTTTACAACTTTGTTAAGGACTTTAACGTGTTTTATACACGGCTTGTTGGCATATGTGGATAGCTCTAAAGTGTCGAAGCTCAGATCTGGTCTTGATTGACCGCTGAGCCATAAGAGTTTCCCTAGCTGTCCTTGGTAATTCTTTTTTTCTTCTTCATTAAGAATACTATCCACTTCTTTGATCCTCGTAGGCGAGATTTCTATAGGTTGAATCGTGTCGCCGTAGTTTCTCTGGTCTATCTTTATAGTTTCCAGTTCTTGGTGCACATTCCATCCCAGATAGGTGAAAATACCAGCGTTCATTCTGGATATCTTGAACTTTTTCCGAATACCTGCTATTATCTCTTTTTGGAATTTTGCTGTTCCGGCATACAAAAGATCATCCACATGGGTCACCACTACTCCTTGTAGTTTACCGTTCTCCCATCTGCTTGAAGACACATTTGTCTAATTTTGACATAATGCAACGTTCTTTCAGGTATTCACTGAGAGTAAGATACCATTTTCTTGCTGAATCCCCGAGTCCATATACCGGTTTCCTCAGTTTCCAAATGATACCTTTTTTCTGATGTCTGCAGGTGGTTTGAGATAGACATCTCTGGATATCTCTTCCGATTGCAGGAATGCGGCTGTAATGTCCAGCGATTCTAACTGCCATCTCTTGCTAGTTGCGATAGTAAATAGCAAACGCAAACTGGTCTTGTTAATGGTAGGGGCATCAGATCTTGGGTAATTCTCTTCAAATCCACGTGCTACCAAACGTGCTTTAACTTTGCTATCCTTTTCTGTTATTATCCACCTGGACGACACCACACTTTGACCAGTGTCCTTGACTTCTTTGTAGACTTCAAACTCTCCAAATTTCTTTATCTCTAGTTCTTTTGCCTCTCGGATCTTTGTGTTACTTTCCTTTGACATTTCTACATTAAATGTTAGGTTGTCTTCTTCTATACAAAGTAACCTTTCTACCTCTTTATCAGTAAAATCGATAACTTGGGCTTCATCTTCTCCATCAATTTGCACATTATAGCTGTTTTTTAGTGTGCCTGTAGCCTTTCCTGCTCGACTATCTATTAGTCCATTTGTCCATTCTGCATTGTCACCGTCTTTGTATCTTATTACGTCGCTCTTTTTTAGTATTACTACATTTTTCTTTCTTTTAAGTTGTTCAAAATTAGTCAAATTCTGTTGATTCTCTTCATCTTCGACTGATGGAGTGTATGGTGGCTCATGCCCGCCATCGTTTTTTTTTCGATTCGAAAAACATTGAATCGAAAAAAAAAC